ATACAGGTAGGTGAAGCTACTGTGAAGTGATACAGGTAGGTGAAGCTACTGTGAAGTGTCACAGGTAGGTGAAGCTACTGTGAAGTGATACAGGTAGGTGAAGCTACTGTGAAGTGTCACAGGTAGGTGAAGCTACTGTGAAGTGATACAGGTAGGTGAAGCTACTGTGAAGTGATACAGGTAGGTGAAGCTACTGTGAAGTGATACAGGTAGGTGAAGCTACTGTGAAGTGATACAAGTAGGTGAAGCTACTGTGAAGTGATACAGATAGGTGAAGCTACTGTGAAGTGATACAGGTAGGTGAAGCTACTGTGAAGTGATACAGGTAGGTGAAGCTACTGTGAAGTGATACAGGTAGGTGAAGCTACTGTGGAGTGATACAGGTAGGTGAAGCTACTGTGAAGTGTCACAGGTAGGTGAAGCTACTGTGGAGTGATACAGGTAGGTGAAGCTACTGTGGAGTGATACAGGTAGGTGAAGCTACTGTGAAGTGATACAGGTAGGTGAAGCTACTGTGAAGTGATACAGGTAGGTGAAGCTGCTGTGAAGTGATACAGGTAGGTGAAGCTACTGTGAAGTGATACAGGTAGGTGAAGCTACTGTGAAGTGACACAGGTAGGTGAGGTCACTGTTGATTGATACAGGTAGGTGAAGCTACTGTGAAGTGATACAGGTAGGTGAAGCTACTGTGGAGTGATACAGGTAGGTGAAGCTACTGTGAAGTGATACAGGTAGGTGAAGCTACTGTGGAGTGATACAGGTAGGTGAAGCTACTGTGGAGTGATACAGGTAGGTGAAGCTACTGTGGAGTGATACAGGTAGGTGAAGCTACTGTGAAGTGTCACAGGTAGGTGAAGCTACTGTGAAGTGATACAGGTAGGTGAAGCTACTGTGAAGTGATACAGGTAGGTGAAGCTACTGTGAAGTGACACAGGTACGTGAAGCTACTGTGGAGTGATACAGGTAGGTGAAGCTACTGTGAAGTGTTACAGGTAGGTAAAGCTACTGTGAAGTGATACAGGTAGGTGAATCTACTGTGAAGTGTCACAGGTAGGTGAAGCTACTGTGGAGTGATACAGGTAGGTGAAGCTATTGTGGAGTGATACAGGTACGTGAAGCTACTGTGGAGTGATACAGGTAGGTGAAGCTACTGTGAAGTGATACAGGTAGGTGAAGCTACTGTGCAGTGACACAGGTACGTGAAGCTACTGTGGAGTGATACAGGTAGGTGAAGCTACTGTGAAGTGTCACAGGTAGGTGAAGCTACTGTGAAGTGATACAGGTAGGTGAAGCTACTGTGAAGTGATACAGGTAGATGAAGCTACTGTGAAGTGATACAGGTAGGTGAAACTACTGTGAAGTGATACAGGTAGGTGAAGCTACTGTGAAGTGTCACAGGTAGGTGAAGCTACTTTGAAGTGATACAGGAAGGTGAAGCTACTGTGAAGTGATACAGGTAGGTGAAGCTACTGTGAAGTGATACAGGTAGGTGAAGCTACTGTGAAGTGTCACAGGTAGGTGAAGCTACTGTGAAGTGATACAGGTAGGTGAAGCTACTGTGAAGTGTCACAGGTAGGTGAAGCTACTGTGAAGTGATACAGGTAGGTGAAGCTACTGTGAAGTGATACAGGTAGGTGAAGCTACTGTGAAGTGATACAAGTAGGTGAAGCTACTGTGAAGTGATACAGATAGGTGAAGCTACTGTGAAGTGATACAGGTAGGTGAAGCTACTGTGAAGTGATACAGGTAGGTGAAGCTACTGTGGAGTGATACAGGTAGGTGAAGCTACTGTGGAGTGATACAGGTAGGTGAAGCTACTGTGAAGTGATACAGGTAGGTGAAGCTACTGTGAAGTGATACAGGTAGGTGAAGCTACTGTGAAGTGATACAGGTAGGTGAAGCTACTGTGAAGTGATACAGGTAGGTGAAGCTACTGTGAAGTGATACAGGTAGGTGAAGCTACTGTGAAGTGATACAGGGAGGTGAAGCTACTGTGAAGTGATACAAGTAGGTGAAGCTACTGTGAAGTGTTACAGGTAGGTAAAGCTACTGTGAAGTGATACAGGTAGGTGAATCTACTGTGAAGTGTCACAGGTAGGTGAAGCTACTGTGGAGTGATACAGGTAGGTGAAGCTATTGTGGAGTGATACAGGTACGTGAAGCTACTGTGGAGTGATACAGGTAGGTGAAGCTACTGTGAAGTGATACAGGTAGGTGAAGCTACTGTGCAGTGACACAGTTACGTGAAGCTACTGTGGAGTGATACAGGTAGGTGAAGCTACTGTGAAGTGTCACAGGTAGGTGAAGCTACTGTGAAGTGATACAGGTAGGTGAAGCTACTGTGAAGTGATACAGGTAGGTGAAGCTACTGTGAAGTGATACAGGTAGGTGAAACTACTGTGAAGTGATACAGGTAGGTGAAGCTACTGTGAAGTGTCACAGGTAGGTGAAGCTACTGTGAAGTGATACAGGTAGGTGAAGCTACTGTGAAGTGTCACAGGTAGGTGAAGCTACTGTGAAGTGATACAGGTAGGTGAAGCTAACTGTGAAGTGATACAGGTAGGTGAAGCTACTGTGAAGTGATACAGGTAGGTGAAGCTACTGTGAAGTGATACAAGTAGGTGAAGCTACTGTGAATGATACAGATAGGTGAAGCTACTGTGAAGTGATACAGGTAGGTGAAGCTACTGTGAAGTGATACAGGTAGGTGAAGCTACTGTGGAGTGATACAGGTAGGTGAAGCTACTGTGGAGTGATACAGGTAGGTGAAGCTACTGTGAAGTGTCACAGGTAGGTGAAGCTACTGTGGAGTGATACAGGTAGGTGAAGCTACTGTGGAGTGATACAGGTAGGTGAAGCTACTGTGAAGTGATACAGGTAGGTGAAGCTACTGTGAAGTGATACAGGTAGGTGAAGCTACTGTGAAGTGATACAGGTAGGTGAAGCTACTGTGAAGTGATACAGGTATGGTGAAGCTACTGTGAAGTGATACAGGTAGGTGAAGCTACTGTGAAGTGACACAGGTAGGTGAGGTCACTGTTGATTGATACAGGTAGGTGAAGCTACTGTGGAGTGATACAGGTAGGTGAAGCTACTGTGGAGTGATACAGGTAGGTGAAGCTACTGTGAAGTGATACAGGTAGGTGAAGCTACTGTGAAGTGATACAGGTAGGTGAAGCTACTGTGAAGTGACACAGGTAGGTGAGGTCACTGTTGAGTGATACAGGTAGGTGAGGTCACTGTTGAGTGATATAGGTAGGTGAAGCTACTGTGAAGTGATACAGGTAGGTGAAGCTACTGTTGAGTGATACAGGTAGGTGAAGCTACTGTTGAGTGATACAGGTAGGTGAAGCTACTGTGAAGTGATACAGGTAGGTGAAGCTACTGTTGAGTGATACAGGTAGGTGAAGCTACTGTTGAGTGATACAGGTAGGTGAAGTTACTGTTGAGTGATACAGGTAGGTGAAGCTACTGTTGAGTGATACAGGTAGGTGAAGCTACTGTGAAGTGATACAGGTAGGTGAAGCTACTGTTGAGTGATACAGGTAGGTGAAGCTACTGTGAAGTGATACAGGTAGGTGAAGCTACTGTGAAGTGATACAGGTAGGTGAAGCTACTGTTGAGTGATACAGGTAGGTGAAGTTACTGTGAAGTGATACAGGTAGGTGAAGCTACTGTTGAGTGATACAGGTAGGTGAAGCTACTGTGGAGTGATACAGGTAGGTGAGGTCACTGTGGAGTACTACAGGTAGGTGAGGTCACTGTGGAGTGATACAGGTAGGTGAGGTCACTGTGGAGTACTACAGGTAGGTGAGGTCACTGTGGAGTGATACAGATAGGTGAGGTCACTGTGGAGTACTACAGGTAGGTGAGGTCACTGTGGAGTACTACAGGTAGGTGAGGTCACTGTGGAGTGATACAGGTAGGTGAGGTCACTGTGGAGTGATACAGGTAGGTGAGGTCACTGTGGAGTGATACAGGTAGGTGAGGTCACTGTGGAGTACTACAGGTAGGTGAGGTCACTGTGGAGTGATACGGGTAGGTGAGGTCACTGTGGAGTGATACAGGTAGGTGAGGTCACTGTGGAGTACTACAGGTAGGTGAGGTCACTGTGGAGTGATACAGATAGGTGAGGTCACTGTGGAGTACTACAGGTAGGTGAGGTCACTGTGGAGTGATACAGGTAGGTGAGGTCACTGTGGAGTGATACAGATAGGTGAGGTCACTGTAGAGTACTACAGGTAGGTGAGGTCACTGTGGAGTGATACAGGTAGGTGAGGTCACTGTGGAGTGATACAGATAGGTGAGGTCACTGTGGAGTACTACAGGTAGGTGAGGTCACTGTGGAGTGATACAGGTAGGTGAGGTCACTGTGGAGTGATACAGATAGGTGAGGTCACTGTGGAGTACTACAGGTAGGTGAGGTCACTGTGGAGTGATACAGGTAGGTGAGGTCACTGTGGAGTGATACAGATAGGTGAGGTCACTGTGGAGTACTACAGGTAGGTGAGGTCACTGTGGAGTGATACAGGTAGGTGAGGTCACTGTGGAGTGATACAGATAGGTGAGGTCACTGTGGAGTACTACAGGTAGGTGAGGTCACTGTGGAGTGATACAGGTAGGTGAGGTCACTCTGGAGTGATACAGGTAGGTGAGGTCACTGTGGAATTATACAGGTAGGTGAGGTCACTGTAAAGTGATAGAGGTAGGTGAGGTCACTGTGGAATTATGCAGGTAGGTGAGGTCACTGTAAAGTGATACATGTATGTGAGGTCACCGTGATATACCTGTCCGGGGCATTGATGCTTCGTTTTTCCTCACATGTCCTTGATTAATTTCTGGTTAACCAGGCTATTGTGAGAGCCATGAGGCTTTAGGCCCGCATGGCTCTCAAAACCTTGTAACAAGTAATGATCAACATTTCTCTTAAAAAACTCTGAATTTATTTAGAGTAGATAAGACACCAATGTAAATCAAAGAATGAATATATTGTAAGTTACCTTCGATGTCAGCCTCGAAGCCCGTGGGCAGAGTCTTGGAGACATCCCCATCGTCGTAAACAGTGATTCGTACCTCCGTCTTGGCGAAGATGACGTGCGGTCTTGAGCCAGCCTGACGGCATGATGGGTTAAGTTAGTGATGTATTTGACATAACGGATTTGTGAAATACCAGAGTTTCGGGGCCTGTGAGGTCGGTTAAATATCGTAACTAGGAATTGTGATATTTAATAAACTTGAATCAATCTTCACTCTTGTTATCAACAATGAAGATTGATAAGAACAGTGTCAGTAACAGCATGATTCATAGCGCTGACTTCGCTATACATTTGTCTCCGGCATTACAATGACGCTTATTGTCACTGAATCTAGTTATCTTGCCCACGCCTTCACATAACATGATATCATCTAAGATATACGAATGCTGTCTAGATCAAATCTCGAATTTTTACACTGATATGAGCAAATGTCCAGTGAGAGGACCTTCACTAGACGCATCTCACTACAGGAACAATTCTCTGATATTGGTAAAACACTTTCACTTCAATGAATTTAAGGTACTTACTTCTTTTTAAGATCAAACATGATTCTGCCAACACCATCTCCCTCCCAAGACACTGTGCAATCCTTCCTATGTTCATATTTAAGTCTGATAACATATATTTAGAGAACTATCTAACCCAGGGGTTCTTAATCGGGGGTATCCATAACACTTGGGGGTATGGGTACCAAATAAGGAGGGTATGGAAATCAAATAATAGGGGTACAGAAACAAATAAAGGGTATAGATGCCAAATAGTAAGGGTTATGGGAACCAAATAATGGGGTATGAAAGCCGAATAATGGGAGTATGGGAACCAAATAATGGGGGATATGAGAACCAAATATGAGGGGTATGAGAACCAAATAATGGGGGATATGAGAACCAAATAATGGGAGTTGTTCTGTTAGAATAGACTAACAGCTGTTCAGTTGCTTGCTATTCATATGTAAAGTAAAACCAAGTTACTGACATCTTTTAAAGTCATTCTGGTACGTAACAGCACTGGTGATGGTGATGATGACATCCACAGTCTGTTGAAGGAAGTACAGTGACATACAGCGCAATCCTTGTTAAGTATCCTTGCAGTCTGACTTTATCAGCATTACAGTAGGTCGCTCCTCACTAGTGTAATGGAATTCCATTATGGTTCCTCCAGTTTGAATTACTATATTATTCTTGAAAGTTATAATGGTTTATTGCAGTTTTCCTTAGTCACTGATTACACCTGAGGTAGCGTCCAGCACTGGTTGTTGACGAGAGGAGTTCACTGTGGAAACTTGCATAGGGTGGTAGTTGGTGGATAGGCTAACTTTCTGGTCTCTATGCAGCTGCACCACCTGGTCTCCAGGCAGCAGCACCTCCTGGTCTCCAGGCAGCTGCATTTCCTGGTCTCCAGGCAGCTGCATTTCCTGGTCTCCAGGCAGCTGCATTTCCTGGTCTCCAGGCAGCTGCATTTCCTGGTCTCCAGGCAGCTGCACCACCTGGTCTCCAGGCAGGTGCACTTCCTGGTCTCCAGACAGCAGCAACTCATGGTCTCCAGCAAGCTGCACTTGATGGTCTCCAAGCAGCTGCACCTCCTGATCTCCAAGCAGCAGCATCTCCTAGGCTCCAGGCAGCAGCACCTCTTGGTCACCAAGGAGATGCACCTCCTGGTCTCCAGGCAGCTGCACTTTCTGATCTTCAAGCAGCTGCATCTCCTAGGCTCTAGGCAGCAGCACCTCCCGGTCTCCAGGCAGCAGCACCTCCTGGTCTCCAGGCAGCTGCATTTTCTGGTCTCCAGGCAGATGCAACTCCTGGTCTCCAGACAGATGCACCTCCTGGTCTCCAGGCAGATGCACCTCCTGGTCTCCAGGCAACTGCATTTCTTGGTCTCCAGGCAGCAGCACCTCCTGGTCTCTAGGCAGCAGCACCTCCTGGTCTCTGGGCAGCAGCAGTTCCTGGTCTCCAAGCAGCTGCATATCCTGGTTTCAAGACAGCAGCACGTCACGGTCTCCGGGCAGCAGCACCTACTGGTCTCCAGGCAGCTGCACCACTTGGTCTTCAGACAGATGCACCTCCTGGTCTCCAGGCAGCAGCAAATCCTGGTCTCCAGGCAGATGCACCTCCGGTTCTCCAGGCAGCAGCACCTCCTGGTTTCCAGGTAGCTGCACCTTCTTGTCTCCAGGCAGCAGCACCTCTGGCCTCCAGGCAGCAGTACCTCCTGGTCTCCAGGCAGCTGCACTTCCAGGACTCCAAGGAGCTGCATCTTCTGGTTTCCAGGCAGCAGCACCTTCTGGCCTCCAGGCAGCAGCACCTCTGGTCTCCAGGCAGCAGTACCTCCTGTTCTCCAGGTAGCTGCACTTCTTGGTGGCCAAGCAGCTGCATCTCCTGGTCTCCAGGCACATGCGCCTCCTGGTCGTAGCACCACCTCCTGGTCTCCAGGCAGCTGCACCTCCTCGTGTCCAGGGAGATGCACCTCCTGGTCTCCGGGCAGCCGCACCTTCTGATCTTCAAGCAGCTGCATCTCCTAGGCTATAGGCAGCAGCACCTCCCGGTCTCCAGGCAGCAGCACCTCCTGGTCTCCAGGCAGCTGCATTTCCTGGTCTCCAGGCAGATGCGCCTCCTGGTCTCCAGGCAGATGCACCTTCTGGACTCCAGGCAACTGCATTTTCTGGTCTACAAGCAGCAGCATCTCCTGGTCTCTAGGTAGCAGCACTTCCTGGTCTCCAAGGAGCTGCATCTCCTGGTTTCAAGACAGCAGCACGTCCCGGTCTCCGGGCAGCAGCACCTCCTGGTCTCCAGGCAGCTGCACCACTTGGTCTTCAGGCAGATGCACCTCCTGGTCTCCAGGCAGCAGCAAATCCTGGTTTCCAGGCAGATGCACTTCCGGTTCTCCAGGCAGCAGTACCTCCTGATCTCCAGGCAGCTGCACTTCCAGGACTCCAAGGAGCACCATCTTCTGGTTTCCAGGCAGCAGCACCTTTTGGGCTCCAGGCAGCAGCACCTCTGGTCTCCAGGCAGCAGTACCTCCTGTTCTCCAGGTAGCTGCACTTCTTGGTGTCCAAGCAGCTGCATCTCCTGGTCTCCAGGCACATGCGCCTCCTGGTCTCCACGTAGCAGCACCTCCTGGTCTCCAGGCAGCTGCATTTCCTTGTCTCCAGGCAGCTGCACCTCCTGGTATCCAAGCAGCTGCATCTTCTGGTCTCCGGGCAGATGCACCTCCTGGTATCCGGGTAGCAGCAACTCATGGTCTCAAGGCAGATGCACCTTGTTTCTAGGCAGTAGCATCTACTGGTCTCCAGGCAGCAGGACCTCCAAGTCCCCAGGTAGCAGCAACTCATGGTCTCCAGGCAGGTGCAATTCCTGATCTCCAAGCAGCTGCATCTCCTGGTCTCAGGGATGATGCATCTCCTGGTCTCCAGGCAGCTGCACCTTCTGATCTTCAGGCAGATGCACCTCCTGGTCTCCAGGCAGCTGCACCTTCTGGTCTCCAGGCAGATGCACCTCCTGGTCTCCAGGAAGCAGCACGTAATGGTTTCCAGACAGCTGCACTTCCTGGTCTCCAAGCAGCTGCATATTCTGGTCTCCAGGCAGATTCACCTTCTGGTCTCCAGGCAGCTGCACCTCCAGGTCTCAAAGCAGATGCCCCTCCTGTTCTACATGCAGCAGCAAACCCTGGCCTCCAGGCAGATGCACTTCCGGGCCTCCAGGCAGATGCACTTCCGGGTCTCCAGGAGGTGCTACATCTTCTCGTCTCCAGGCAGCAGCACTTAATACTTTCCAGACAGCTACATTTCCTGGTCTCCAAGCAGATGCATATTCTGGTCTCCAGGCAGCAGAACCTCCTGGTCTCAGGGCAGCCGCACCTTCTGGTCTTCCAGCAGCTGCATCTCCTAGGCTCTAGGCAGCAGCACCTCCCAGACTCCAGGCAGTAGCACATCCTGGTCTCCAGGCAGCTGCACTTCCTGGTCTCCGGTAGCTGCACCTTCTGGTCTCCAGGCAGATGAACCTTCTGGTCTCCAGGGAGCAGCACCTCCTGATCTCTAGGCAGCAGCATTTCCTGGTCTTCAAGCAGCTGCATCTCCTGGTCTCAAGGCAGATGCACCTCCTGGTCTTCAGGCATTAGCAAATTATGGTCTCCAGGCAGCTGCACCTCCGGGTCTCCAGGCAGCTGCACTTCATGGTCTCCAAGCAGTTGCATCTCCTGGTCTCTAGGGAGCAGCACCTTCTGGTCTCCAGGCAGTTGCACCTCCTGGTCTCCGGGCAGATGCACCTAGTGGTCTCCAGGCAGATGCACTTCCTGGTCTCCAGGAGGTGCTGCACCTCCTGATCTCCAGGCAGCAGCACCTCCTGATCTCCAGGCAGCAGCACCTCTTGGTCTCTAGGCAGCAGCGCTTCCTGGTCTCCAGGCAGCTGGACCTCTTGGTCTCCAGGAAGATACACCTGGTCTCCAAGCAGATGTACCTCCTGGTCTCCAGACAGCTGCACCTCCTGGTCTCCAGGCAGACATACCTCCTCATCTCCAGGCACCTGCACCTCCTGTTCTCCAAGCAGCTGCATCTCCTAGGATCCAGGCAGTAGCACCTCCTGGTCACCAAGGAGATGCACCTCCTGGTCTCCAGGAAGCTGCACCTTCTGGTCTCCAGACAGCATCACCTCCTGGTCTCCAGGCAGATGCACCTCCTGGTCTGCAGGCAGCAGCACTTCCTGGTCTCCAGGCAGCAGAACGTCCTGGCCTCCAGGCAGATGCACCTTCTGGTCTCCAATCAGCTGGACCTTCTGGTCTCCAGGCAGATGCACCTCCTGGTCTCCAGGCAGCTGTACCTTCTGGTCTCCAGGCAGCAGCACTTCCTGGTCTCCAGACAGATGCACCTTCTGATCTCCAGGCAGCAGCATCTCCTGGTCTCCAAGCAGCTGCATTTCTTGGTTTCTAGACAGATACACCTGGTCATCAGACAGCTGCACTTCCTGGTTTCCAGGCAGACACACCTCCTAATATCCAGGCAGCTGCACGTCCTGATCTCCAAGCAGCAGCATCTCCCAGACTCCAGGCAGCAGCACCTCCTGGTCACCAAGGAGATGCACCTCCTGG